AGAAATATAAAAGGGAACAATCAAAATATAAGACCGTTGCTCTCTCGATATTATTCTTAAATTGTCCTTGGAGAGAACGAAAACCATGAATATTAAAGTGGATTATTCATCGAATGAATAGGTTATTTATAGATTTATATTCGAGCTTCTATTAAAAAATAAAAAAACTAACATTCCTCGGTGGGCAATACAGGAAGTCAGTGATGAAACAATACAAACTGAGCTATAATTTTAGTAAAGTATTGCAACAGTGATGAACAAATACGAACTACCTTTTTCTTTTCAAAAATATATTCTTGTTGAATCAGTTAAAAATATACAAAATCATTTTAGCACAGTCTCCTATGGAGCAAAAATATGAAATTCAAAGGTGTTCGTTAGCCTCATTATACTAATACAAACTAGTGCTGTGGTCCAAGGATAATCGATCATCAGCGAAACGATCTGTCTTATCTATCCTTGGTAAGGAATTCTTCTAAGAAAAGAATCTAACGTCTGTTTTTCTCTACTTACTATGAAAATATACTCAATGACTGTTAGACAATCTTCCCTTCTTCTGACTCAGCTCTAGGAAAACGCATCTAAAGATCATTTACCTTTCTTTCCCTTACGATGCTATTGAGAGAAAGGAAAGAAAGAAGCCCCAAAATATCGACTTAAAACTTACTTTCTCTCCTATATTTTTTCTTCGAAAAATATAATGTGAGTTCCACAAAAAAAATGTTCTAACTATGAATCACAAGAAAGTTTCCTAAGAATTAAAGAAGACACTATAAATAATGATTATATATATAAAATTTAACTTGGTTTCATGTTACTTGTAATGTTTTCAGTTTTTTCAAGCGATTTTTTTTAGTTAAGTTAAACCTATTTTATATTCATTTATACTTGTCTTATTTTTAGTACGCCTATTTCTTTCTTTTGTAACATTTAAATGCATTATGATATGTTTTAGTCATATGTTAATCTCGAGAGCAGCCGTACTTAAGCGATAGATTTTTGAGTGTGATATTACGATATATTTGTCAATATGTTACCAGGTGTTTTTTTCATAAAAAAACGTTTTTTATACAAAATACAAACCCAATTATTCATTTATTTCGTTTGTGCAACAATTCATTTTCGGTTTTTGAAAAAGCGCATTATAAAAAAAACGATGCATTTAAATGCAAAAATAGTGTTTAATCTTTAACCTTGACATTGAGACGGTATTTTATACAAACTTTGTTTTCAAGGTACATGTTCCAACATAACTCATCGATTTAAGTGAATCAGTTCAAAACTATATCATTTGTTTGGTCTAGCTGTTTAGATGCGTTTTTCTTATGCATGTACGATCGTTTTAGAACAGAAAATTTTGAAAATTGGTAAAAACTTGAGAAAAGGAATCCAATGCTCGAGTTTCCCTAGATCTAGTTGAAAAATTGAGCTTTGTCATCGTATTTTCAAGTTCCTAATGTTTTCCGATATTTTGTAAACATGTTTCAATTATAAAAATTTTGATCAGGAACAGTATAAGAAAAAGTATAAGTTGATATACTCTCAAGACTTGTTATTATCTTATTAAGGTCTATTCAAAAGTAATATATGAAATAAAAGAGTATCTAACAATTAACAATATTTCCTCATTAGTCAATGCAACACGGTATTTCGAATCACTTGTTCAAAATCAAATGAATCATCTAGTTTTTTCTTCATTAACGATAATGACAATTGATTTTCTAACTAGATGACTATTAAAACTTGAGTATCTAAGTATATCATTTTAATTTTAATTTTCCTATTGAAATAACACTTATATGAAATAACAAAAAAAAGAAAGTTTAAGACCCCATAATTTTACTGGCAATAGATTGATTCAAATTCATATTAATACAATGATTTGATTTTGTTTTAGTAATGTTTTAATGATTTGGTTATACAAACATAAAGAAGAATGTACTTTCGTCCAATTCGTTTATTTAAATTATTTATTATAGTTAGTTGTGTGATTATAATTACCTATGAAATCTATCGTTTATTATTACGTCCAAAAAACAAATTATCAATAATAAAAAATTATGATGTTCCATCGATATTATTTCCCAAAGCAGGTTTTGAACAAAATTCTGATACACTTGAACCATTTTATATTTCTTTACCGAATTTTTCTGATGATGAAGCAAGAAATTGGTTTTATAGTTCATCTTATTATAAAGTTCATTCAAAAACATGTCCATTGGGTTCATGTGAAGAAAAAGGTGTTTTCTTTAATAATACAAAAGAACATCTTTCAGTTAATGTTTTTCTTGTTAAAAATGGTCTTTATTTAAATGATGAATGTGGTTATAATTATGGAGATGATGCTATTCAACGTACATTTAAAAATTCTGATGAAACTAGTGTTATTTATGATAAAGCTATTATTTATACTGTTCCAGATGGTTGGAGTTTTCAACATTTTCTTGATGGTATTGGACCCAAATTATCACATTCAAGATCTTATTTAAAAAAATATCCTGATGCTAAAGTTCTTATTTTACAAGGTGTTCGATTTGATCGATCTGTTAAAGAAATTTGGTCTATGTTGGGTTTGTAATCGTTCTTCATTTCATAAAATATAAATGAAAAGAAATGTTAAAGTAAAGAGAGAAAAAAATTCGACTTTCTGAAAAGAAAAAGTCTGATGATTATTAACGATTTTTATTCCTCTCGTCATGCAACTTTGAATAAGTTTACTTACGATGAGCATATCTAATAGAAATAGGAAAAGAAATACAAATGTGTATTGATAAATCGATTGGTCTGAAATTTTTTCGGATATCAATTTCATTTCTGTTACACTTTTACATACATAACCATTAAATCGAAAGTTCTTTGTAAAGTCCTCAAAACTTTTATTATAGTCTGTTAGATAGAATTCAAAATTAAGATGTTTGCTTTTTTTGTTTTTTTAGGAATTGAAGAATCTGAACGAATAATTCATTATAGTCCAAATATGAAAATTGGTGCTCGCCTTCTAATAAATCCATGTCGTACACCAGGTATTCATCCTCGTTTATGGCAAGATGCTCGACTTATGTATTGGTCCATATCTGGTATACCTAATCCATCAAGTGAATCAAAACGAAATAATTTAATATATATTCAAAGAACGGCAACAAATGCAATGAATGGTGCTCGTCTTATATTAAATGAAGAAGCATTTATAAAAGTTCTACGTGATTATTGTTCAAAAAATTCATTAAATTATGTGCAATATGATCATTCAAAAGATAAAGATCATATTCGTTCTCGTATTGAACTTTTTTATAATGCTAAAATAATAATTGGTGTTCATAGTGGTGCATTATCAAATATGAATTTTGCACAATCAGGAACGACAATTATTGAAATAATGCCTTATAAATCTGATTCTAGTTCACTTCCAATGACTTGTTCAATGTATCAACCTGAAGATATACGAGCATGTGCTGGTTATATTTTATATACTCAAGCCCGATTACTAAATCAATCATATTGGATTTTACCAATTGTTGTAAACACTGAAGGAAATCTCCATGTTGACACAACACGCTTACAAAACCTTTTCAATCAAATTTCATAATTTTATTCTTGTTTTTTTTCCTCCAGCTGTATTGTGATAATTATTTGTTGATAACACTTATCAAATGATTATCGTTGAATTCAAACACATTTAATAGGTGCACGTTTTCATCATTTTTATTGTTTTTTTTCTTTCGTTGAATCATTAAAACAAAGCTTTTTTAGAACTCTTATGTACTTTCAAAGAGAATAGTGAGTAGCAATTTTGCGACTCCTTCTCTCCCAATTACAGATCTTAGTCATTGAGGACAACAGGCATCAGATTTCTTCTCCACAGCTTCGTAGAGATGGAGAAATGGCTCTGAATGGCATTTCAAAATCTTCATTCGATTTTGAATGACTGAAATACGTTTATAAATATTTTAAATAGTGTAGTTCTTTTATTTTGCACACATAAAAATTTGATGTCCAAAATGTCAACAATGATCAATAGCAATATATCATCAAAATAAAAGTTTGGGAAATAATCAAAATGAGTGTTGTGAGCTCATCAAGATATATTAATAAATAACTAGCGAATATCAACATGATAGATAAAAGATAGAGTGACAGTAAAAAACAAGCACAAAACTTTTGTTCGACATGCAGAAGTAAATAAAACATATTGTTTCTCTGTGGATCGACTATCCTTGAAAACTAACTATAGTCTTCGAGAGACTTTCCACATTTTGTAGTGTTCTTTAAAATAAATATATATATATCAGCAAGAGTTTTTGACAGAGATATAATATAGATCAAGAGTTGTTCGACCAATCAGCAAGATAATTCTCTATTGATGTCGGTATGCTGCGATGGCCGAGTGGTTAAGGCGTCTGACTCGAAATCAGATGGGTTCTCCCGCGTAGGTTCGAATCCTACTCGCAGCGCTCTCTTTTTTTCTTCCTCTCAATTTATTCTCATTTTTCAGCACTTTATGTTGCATAATTGAAATATGCTTGAAACAACATTGCAAATTGACTCAATGCATCACTCAATGGTCTGTTCTTACAAAATTAATAATACCAACTATTTATCGGTTATAAGAACCGTATATAAAATTCTTCAAAATGTATTTCCAATATTTCATGTTTTAGTAGGAAAATCTCATTCTGTAATTTTTTTACTAAGTAGCTACAAATTGAATTAAAAATAATTTTCTTTAAAAAAAACTTTGTAGTTAATAAATTTCATAGTATGACTATCATTCGTGAGATGTCACTACTATTTAATATTAATAAATATAAATCATTATTATCGTAAGTGATCGTATCGTAATCGACAATTAATATCTAAATTTAAAAATAAAAATTTAAAATAAATTTGAAAAGTTTTCAATTAAAATATTTAATAGAGGTTTTCCTCAAGTGATACAAACGAACATGGTTGTCTCAACAAAATTTTCTTAACACGTGCATCTAACTCTTTGTGAAAACTAAATGGCAGCATCATCATCATTAGTAGCAAGTATGGATGGTGGTGGTGGTGGTTTAAATGCTAGTGGAACTGGTGGTGTAGAAATTGCTAAAGCTTTATCTAGCATGCAAATACGTAATGAACAATTTCGCCACTTATATGAAGAACTTAAAAAAGAATATTCAACATTATCTGAAGCATATGCTGATTGTCAACGAACTTTAGAAAAATCTACTGAAGACAATCGTCAAATGCAAGAAAAATTTAAAAATTTACTTGATAAATTACAAATGGACAATAGAAAAAAACAAACACAAATTGAAGAAATGAAAACACAAGTTTTATTTTATTTTTTTTCTTATTTCTTAATTTTTAAATAATCTTTTTTAGTTACTTGACAATAGTAAAATCGATCAAATTCGTGATCGTCTATCATCAGAAGTTGAAGGTCCATATAAATTAGCATTATCACAATTAGGAAATCAATTAGAACAAACTAAAGGTGAATTAACAAAAGTTCGTTTTGAATTAAATGCTCGAATAAAAGAACATGCTTCGGAATTATCTCAAAGAGATCAAATAGCAAGTGAAATTCAATTAAAAACTGAAAAAGAATTAGGAGCATTAAGAAAAGAACGTGATCTTCTACAACAACATATTCGTCAAGAAAATCAAAAAGATACAAATATTGAACAAAATCGTTCAAGAGAAATAACACAATTGAAAGCTAAAATTGAACAATTTATTCAAGAATTAAATGAAGCAAGAGAAGTTAAACTTCATGCCGAACAAATAGCTGCATCTGCACAAAGAGAATTATTAAAAGAACGTTCTTTATCAAAAACAAATTCTTCTCTTATTGAAGTAAAAACTCTTTTTGTTTTATTTGCTTATTAATTTTTAAAATAGAATGAACGTGATTCATTAAAACAACAATTAACAACAACACATCATGAATTAACATCTGTTAGTGAACAATTAACAACAGCTAATAGACAATTACATGAAAGAGATCTTCGATTTGCACAAATTAATTCTGAATATGAAAATATTCAACATCGATTTAAAGTTGAAGTTGCCAATCATAAAATTGATTTAGCTAAAGTACAAAGAGAACAATTAGAACAACAAGAACAATTAAAACTACATATTCAAGGTTAGTCTTAGACAAAAGAAAAAAACTTTCATAGATTAAATTTTTCTTCTCACTGAATATCTTTGTATTGTAAAAGTTTCTATTATTCACAAAAAAATCCATGACGATAACACAAAACTCGTTTGAACTTCCACAACATTGCAAGAGTTTCCGCTTGGCAGAATATAAAAGGAAATAGAAGTAATGGATTACGTGACACCGTTGCCTGCAAAGATGTCTTTGCCATGTGTGAAGATCGTATGATACTCTTTATGAACCTCCGAGAAATTTATAAAAGTCATTATACTCTCTATACCATTGTTTGAAAAGTTCAATACGAAAGACAATGAATAGACTCAACTAAAATTAAGTTTTTATTAATTACTAGTTATTTCTACTATGATTTAAATTTTATATCTCTTGTAGTTTCATAGTTTCAAATCGAAAAGAAAAGTTTTTTGAAAACCTAAAATATTTTGAAGAAGGCTTTCAGAAGGCCGCAGTTATGTTGACTTCAATCTTTTAAGATGTTCAGTTAAAATTCTTGTGGAACCAGACATATTCAAATATAAATATACTAACTAATGATTTTATTGTTCTCAGAGCTGGGCAAAATCCTCGAAGTATTCGTACTCGAAATCCTAGATAATATTGTAAAATGATGACTAAAGTAGAATGCTAATGACTGTGAAAACAACACCCACACTTACATAAACACTTAAATTACATTCCATGCCCATACCCACACCCAGCTCTGAAAATCAATAAGTTGAGCGTCTCATTGCTTCAACAGGAAAGAAAAGTAGACTTAACCGTAGCTAATACCAACAAAAACCTAGAAAATCAATTATTTTGAATGACAAACAAACGAGTATTTTGTTGAGAATCTTAAGAAATGATAGTTAAATAAAGTGAATATAAATGAGATATTGAAAGTGATTTAAGTTTTTAGCGAGACGAAAAATAACTGAAGAAGATTTTATTTTCTGCTTTACAAAATTTTATTTTCACTAGATATATTTCTATTTGTAAAACAAAATTTATTATATAAGGACTTGTTTTAGAACTTGAAGAAAAAATCGCTGTTTTAACTTCTGATAAATCAAAATTACAATTAAATATGCAAGAAAAAGAACATAATTTACTTACAAGTGTACAAGCAGTAAGAGAAGATGAATGGAAAAAAATTAGTGAAATTACAAATGAAAAGTAATATTTATTTTCATTTCTTATAGATTTAATTCGTTGATTTTTCTAGACTTAATTTAGAAGCTGATTTAAATATATTAAAAAAGTCGAATGATGAACGACAAAAACAATTTGATATTGAACGTGATCGTTTATATGAACAAATAAGAAGTTTAGAAAAAACTCGTGATGAATTAACAAAAGAAAATACATATTTAAATACAACTATTAAACAAATAAATGATTGTCAAAATGAATTCGAACGTGAACAAGAAAAATCTCGAGAACTCTATAGAAAATGTGCTAAACTTGAAAGTCAACTTGCATCAACTAATGGAATTGAAGTATTATTGTTTTTGTTCATTTTATTTATTATCTTTCTTGTTTTTTTTTTCTTTCAGCAAGAATTAACAGAAATAAATTTAAAATTAAAAAATGAATTGAATCAATTAATGAATGAATGTCATTCGAATAAACAAGAAGTTCAACAAGTTATTTTATTGATTTTATTTGTTTTAAAATAAAAAATTTTTCTTTTTTTGATTTAGATGAATAATCAATGTACAACAACAATTGAAAATGCTCGTCGAGCATTTTTTAATGAAAGAAAAGAAATGGAAATAAAAATTGAACAATTAGTTGAACAATTAAAAAATTATAAAACAAAAATAATTGAATTACAAAGAGAAAAAAAAGAATATCGATTAAGACATCAAAATTTTTCACAAAAATTAATTGAAAAAAGTCAATTAATTGAAGCAAAACTTAATGAAATTAAACAAAAAGAATTAAGTTTACAGTAAGAACTTATTAGAAAAATTTCTTTTATGATGAACTAAGGCTAAATAAAGATTTTGGAAAGATCTTATTGTTATCGTCGTTTTATTTTGTATGTGAATGAGAAAGTGTTGGTTCTCGAGAGATTAGTTCGTCCTATAGGAATATGAAATTAGCTATGTAGAAAACAGATCAAACTAACATCACTGATACATGTCATTTTAGCTCATATGGAATCTAGAAGGAGATCTTGGTAAAACTAGCTGAAAATCTAAAAGTTTTCGTTTGTGTGAATCTTTCACACTAACTTATGATACATATTAACTTTTAGAATATCCTACAAGTTTCAATAGAAATTCGAGAACTACCTACACATTGAATCACAAATTCATGAAACTATAAGATCCGTGAGGATGAGCCCTTTTAGATTCTTTCCAGTTTTTCTGAGACTTACTTGTGAATCCAATATGAGATCATCTCGTAATATTTCTTGCAAACAAAAAAACATATAATGATAGAGATATGTCATTCATGCTAAAGAATTAACATATATATCTATTTTATCTTTCCTTCAACTAAATATACCTCTCTTCTTTCTCTGAAATCTACAGGTAAATTGGCAATATTAATTATTTTTAAGTTAGTTACATGTGAATTTTTTTAGAAATGTTGTTAGTCTTCAAACTCATAATCGTGTAAAACGTCAATTATCTCAATTATTAAAAAAACATGCACAATTTCAAACACTTATCGATGCAAATAATATTAATCGATCATCAGTACAATTAGATGTGAGTTAAAAGAAAATTATTCTTCATATAAGATTCTATATTGTTATTTTTTTAAATTAGGATAAATATGATCTTAATTCCATGTTAACTCGTCTAGATCGTTTATCACATGAACAAAATCATCAATTAAATGATTTTATTCCAAGTAATTATTTTCTTTTCTGATTCGAAATATAATTTATTTGATTGTTTATATTTAGCGAAAGAAACTTCATCAGCTCTTTCCAATCATTTTGAATCAAGTTTAACTCAAAGTGGATTATCATCTTCTTCACCAGATAAACGAAAAATAATTCGATTTGAAGAAGAAAGTGATTAAACGAAGAAGAATGTTATTCTTCATTAAGTGAACTATTTATATTTCAGTACAGATATGTTTTTTTTTGTTTTACTTTTCGATTCTATCGCCCAGTGTTATGGACATTTTAGATAGACTATCTTTATTATAAATATTTAAACTAGTTTATTATAATTGTCTTTATTAGGTCAACTTGTTTTATTTGATTGGGCTTGTTTTTTTTCCCTTCTTTGTAAACATCTTCATCAACTTAATATCGATAATAAATCATTTTACTTCATTTGAAACAAAATCTAACATTTTTTATTTAAGATATTGTTTATATATGTATTTGCAAATTTTTTCTACAAGATCTCAAAGAAGTCATATAAATCGTTTGGATATCTAATAAAAATAAATCCTAAATAAAAAGTTGACAAATTTCAAGATGTTGGCGATGGCAGTTCTTGCTTTTATCAACATTGAAGGTTTAATGAATCCTCTGAAGTAAAATAAGTTCTATAAGAACTATAGTAAAACTTCTTGTAGTGAATAGTGTGCTTATAAATTGAATTGTTAATGAAACTTCTTAAAAGAGCTATACAGCTGAATAAGTATCGATTGTATGAAAATGATGGCATCGACGATTTGGACACCAGCGTCAATTTAACCCTCACATCACCACCTGTGTGTCACATGGACCCAAAATAAGTTCTTTTTTATATTGTGCGCACATAGTATTAGATCGAACTTTGCCCTTTTAGGTATGGATGTGGGTGTGAGTTTGGATACAAAGAAGCATCACATCCTGCACTGGTAATAGCAGTCAGTCGCATCCAATCGCTTCTGAGGCGATAATAGAACAACCAAATGTATTCGTAAACGCTGGATTTCCGATATATAGTTCAAAATGTTCTGAAAAGTAGAACAGTAAGAGAGTGAAAAAGGATTGAAACAACAGGTTCAAATAGATTTCTTCTTAATCTGTCCTTTGCACAGTAGATACCCTTTGAAGTTTTTATAATTTCGTGAAAACCGAATGACTACATCTTCTATGGTTTCTCTTTTATTCACATGAGGTCCGTGCGGATCGCAAGTGGAAACCAGGCTACTAATCTGTAGGTGGTGATATGAAGGTTAAGATTTCAAGTTTATTTTGTTTCTTTTCATTTTTCTTCTTATCATCATTGAGATATGCTTTTAGAAAACTTTACAACGTCAAAGTAATACATATGATGAAACAACAATAATACATAATAGAAAACATATAAATCTAGCAAGAGCAACTGTAGCTTTTACTCCATTTCATGTAACAATATCGTGTTATTGATATTTTTTTTTCTGTCATTTGTATATCAAAAACTAAAAATAAATTCTATTAACAAACTTTTTCAATCACTCTTTAAAAATCGACATAACTTATCTTTATTTGACAAAAAGAATAAACAATTTTTTGTTCCTGTTGTTCTTTTTTTTTTGCTTAGTTTAGCTTTGTGCGAGATTGGATAAATTCGAATTATCTATCAGATAATTGGGTAGACTTTACATTTCAATGCATTAAAGACTGTGCTGAATGTATTTTAGTGTACTAATGCTTAAGTTTTGTATATCATATTTTTCCTAATAATATACAGATTTATTCAGACATATGTTCGTATTAATCTATTAAATATATGTGTCGAAAATTTTCAGCTAATCAAATGATAAAGAAAAGAAAATATTGTTCATTATCGTCATTCTTCTAGAAAATGCTTATTATTGATGTTTCAACAATTATTTTACACTATGTATAAATCAGTTTAAAATGATAAAACTATCTTTATAATGTGTTTTGTTTTCGATAGGATATACAATTAAACCTCTCTACAGTGAACATCAACGGGACCCTCCAAAAAGTGTTCACTAAGGGAGATGTTCGCTATACGGAGGTTTTGCATTAATTGATCTTTCATACGTGTATATAGTGCATGAATAGTATAATTGAGGATGTGTGAGTGTCGTTTCTTCTACTAACACCCACACTCCACAATTATACAAAAGGATTATTTTATGTTTAAAACACGATCATTGTAATTTGAATGTTCTGACGTTTTAAGACCAGTTGCGAAAATCATGAAAATAGAAATATTCAAAAATTGAACATGTGATTTTGGAAGAAGACCAAACGCTTTGCGAACTTTTAGGATAAGATCCCAATTTCTATAAATGAAGTTTCTCTTAATGAACTGGTTCTAACTATATATGTTCACTTTTCTTGGACGAGATAACAATAGAATGAAATATTCAAATGGGATATGAAAATGTTTGCGAAAAGGATATTTTACATTATGCACTTGATTTGACCAAATTTCTGATGTGCACGGAAACTAAACAAATCATGCTAAATGATGAATTAGATACATTACACTATTCTACAGAGTTTGAAAAGAAATCTTTGAGTGAAAACGAAGAAAACATGCTATCCACTATTACGAGAAAGAAAATTTGAAAATATAAAAAATACTATTATTTGTACGTCATTCGTTAGACTATTGACTTCTTAACTTTCTTAAAGGGTGCTGAACAAAACGAAAACTAACGTCATTTTTATTTTATTTGGAATCTATCGATCATGTAATAATTCAAATGAAACTATAGAGTCTATTTTAGAATTAAGAAGCTAAAATATGGCGAAGAAAGTTACGTGGCTGTTTTAGATAGATAGGA